GGATGGGCTCCTTCGATCACTGTCCCCACAGACTGCAGGTGAGGGACAGGCTCAGCAAGGAGGAGGGCCAGGATCAATTAGTAATGTCTACCCCAGGCACGCTGCTTACATACAATCCTGGCCCTAGAGAGTATTTAACAGTTAAGCACCAAAGGAAAAAAAAAAAAACTGTGTTAAGAGCACCATTTCACTACCTAGAGTAGCTGACTTTGAAAAGAAAGCAGGAATTAATTTTAAGAAAGGGTTTTTTATTCTTTTTCATGAAAAGGTACACCTTTAAAAGATTTGATCATTTGATTGAATCGTTTGATCATCTGATCGACCTTCAGTCAGAAGGTCTGTATCCTTCTGTCTCGGTTATCTATTCCTAACTCAGGCTAACTCAAGCATGACAAGCTCAAAGGCCTCCAGGGACCTGGCAGGCAAAGAATGGAGGCCAGTGGGGAAGGGCCTGCAGAATATGCCACGGGCAGCTCTCCTCAGCTCCAGCTACTGTGGTTGCCTTTGGGATCGAGGCCACTGAGGCCAGATCCTCCAATTTCTGGAGAGGTGTTGAAATCTGAGACGTATGTGCACATACAACTTCCAATTTCTACAACATCGTGTGGGCCAAATACCCAGTTTGTCCTCTTTGGTCAGACCATTGTCTCAGGTCACCCAAGGCAGTCACAGCAAAGGGCAGGACAGGCTCGGCTGGAGATGCTGACCAGCCCAGCCTCCAAGGTCCGATGGCTCGCCCCAGTGAGGTCATCCAGGAAGCCCGGCATTGTTTTGCCAGGAACAAAGTCGAAACAATGAGCAACAATTCTGTGGTCCTAGTGAAAGTGAGTTCTGTTTGGGGAATTGTTTTCAGCACGGCAGGTCTGGGGACAGGGTTTGTTATCTCCTGGGCTCAGCGTCTGCGGGCAAGGCCCTCCCCTCCCCCCACGAAGGCTCACGTCTACCCCCATTCTGCTGAGAGCACCCTGCCTGGCTCAGGCTCGGCCTTCAACCTACAGGAGCCTTGACTTCGCCCCAAGCCTCACGGAGCCTTCCTTTTCACAGGTCAGGAAGCTGAGGCTCAAAGAAGGGGAGGGTCTGGCCCAGGTCACACAGCCACCAGGCGAGGCCAAGATTTGCACCCAGATCCTGACTCCACGTGGTTGGTGACACCCCAGGGTAAGGTGGCCTCTGTACAGGGACCTAACAGAGCAGATCGTACTTCTTGATCTATGGTTCGCAGAGGAAAAAGTGGGTGAAGGTGGGCAGGTTTTCCAAAGAACTGGCCTTTAGGGCAACGCCGGGGCCGGGGGCAGGATGTGGGCCCAATGTACAGCCTTCTCCTCTCCCCGGCACCAAACCTGCAGGCGGGCGGGGGGG